AAAAAAAAAAAAAAAAAAAAAAATAGCAAAAGGAAAAATTTGGAATTAGGCACTTCACCATATCTCACAAACTCTCTTCTCCTCACCACTATAAATAGTTGGCTCTCTTCGATTTTTTACGATACTCTTGTAAACAGCTTGCCGGCAGTTCGATAGAGAAAAAGAGATAGATAGAACAAGAGAAAGGAAAGCAAGAGAAGAGAAGAGATGTACGCCAAAGTTGGAAGTGTGTAGATGAAACAGGAATGTTGCTTACCTCGCGTACTAACACACACATAAGCAACGATCATCTTTCTTGGTATATACGCACGACCACGCATGTGTTCTCTGTATGAATGTGTGTTGTTATTCGAAAATGGAAATAAAGATTGTACTAATAATAAATGTATATTTCATATTAAAAAAGTAAGTATGTGTGAGAAAGAAGAAAATATTGTATCTCATAAAAAATTAATTAAGACAAGAAAAAGAGCTGAAGATAACTCATGATTTTCTACGTATGTGCGCGTGCGCGTGTAGATTAAGTAAAAGAGAAAAAGAGAGAGAAGTTGAAGAAGTGAATGCAATGTTCTTTCGTGAAAAGGCACGTAGACGATTCTCGGCCGTTCATTCAAGAAGAACGCGCCACGTGCCTGAGGCTCTCGAACCGCTAACTACGCCACTGCGCTCCATAATTGAGAAGTGAGATTCTCAAACGAGTTGTATATATATACGAGTTGTGTATATATACCTATATATACATATAACGGATATAGCTTTGTAACAAAATTACCGAGACACCCTGTATGTTAATACTTATGTAGGTGTGTGTGCAGGATGAAACAGACACACAATATCTTTTAAGATAACGAAGTGAATATTTTTGTCAGTTATTTCAATAGAAACTAACCATAAGAGAGATAAGGAAAAATGGGAAATATTTTAAGCCAATCAAAATGATTATTTTAAAATGTTATAACACATTACTGTTGGGTCTCAGGGGCAAACTTTAAACAACCAATTCTTGTTAGTATTTCATTTTTCCCCTCGTCTACTTTTCTCGTACGAGTTATGCGTACGAAACGATGACGGCTTACCGCAAAACCTCGAGGTATCAATTCGAAAGTGGTACATCGCACTTAAGATGCCTCTGGCTTGCATTCTGTAAGAGGTTGACGTAGAATGGCCACGTGTAGAAGAATCGTATCTCTTTTTCTTCTACAACGTATGGTACGTTCGTTTACCCACGTGTATGTATGTATGTGTGTTACTCGATGCGTCCAAGTAAATAAGAGACAGAGACAAAGAGAGAGAGAGAGAGAGAGAGAGAGAGAGAGAAAGAAAGAGAAAGGGAAGGAAGAACGGAGAAAGTTAATCACCAACTTTACATGCAAATATGATTTTTAACAATTTTCCCCAATTTTTTTCTTTTAAATAAATTCTTTACGGTTTAATTAGTATCCTCATGATACTTGAACGTTTTTATTTTTTTATTTGTCCAAGACTCGTCTCGATTAATTCATCTTTCTCTCTTTCACACATGTGAGCGAGCGTGCACACACACACACACACTTTAGCAAAGTAGTATTTGTGAGATGTGTTTGGATACGGACAGGATGTGGGTCGCTAGTTACACTTTAGTACTCGCATGCCATGCTCGTGTCGTTCCTTATACGTTTACATATGATAGAGACTCTTGTGACACCAAGAGCTAGTAAAAGGTATTAGAAGAAGCGAGAGAGAGAAAGAGAGAGAGAAACCGCGCCCTGCCCACGCCAAGAAGAGAGTCGGGACCGACTTGGCACTTTCAAACTCTCTGTCCTGCTTCGAGGATGAGCTACATACCTAATTGTTAAATGGTATAGGTATTTTATACTATTCGTCTATGTTGCCCTTAGTGTCCCACCCTGACGCGATTGGCTAGCACATAATCGCAATTTCAATAAGTACACTTATTTAATTTATTAAAACTTACCTGTATGTATTCGCTGATGGGCCTTTAGGTGCGAACTCTTCGTGTATACTTTCGTACAACCTGCAAACAAGGAATAACGAACGTTTTAAAAATGGCGCCATTGTTTAGTTATTTTGACCGATTTTGCGTGCTATCTTTTCATACGAATTAAAAGAAAATAAAAAGAAAATTTTTAAAACACACAATTAATACTTTTTATAATGTAATCAATTGTAGAAAATCTTTCAATCAAAGTTGCAAAACGAGTTTCAAAGATTATAGAATAGCATAGACAATTAATGTATTTTAAATGAACGAGATTCCTCGAAAGCGAGCAGGTATTAGTTCGTAGGCATTGTACAACGAGCAAATGCTCGCAGTCGTTGTCCTAACATTGGTATCTCGTCTGTTTGCCAGGATTTGCCTATCTCCAAAGAAACTCAATGTTGTAAATTTTTGAAAGGTGAGACTCTAACATGTGACAAAAAACGAGGACACTCACAGATAACCGATAGACTTTAGGTCAATGGTCTTACGTCTCGATTTTGTCAAAATAATTTTGTTCATTGCATAGACAAAATCGTTCAAAATAAATTAGAGAAAAAAAAATGAGACAAACCTATGAAATCACAGTGGTGAACACGTCGCTTTTCGAGTTCAGGATTGTTTCGTCTGTTAAACTTGGTCGTTATGGGTGGCGGTTGAATCCGATGGGGCGGATTTAGAATGGAGGGTTGCGGATAGGGCGGAGGCGGTGTCCGTCGTGGTGGGCCACCACCGATGGGCGAACCAGGATCCGAGATGGGAGGTGTTAACGGTGAGATGTACATCAACCTGGTCATCGAGCCGTAAAGAGGTGAAGTCGTTGCATTACCAGCTTGTTGATGGGCTTGAGACGATCCGTGATGATTCGTCGTGGTATCGTTGCTGTTACCGTTGTTATTGTTATTCACATTGTTGTTGTTGTTATTGTTATTATTATTGTTGTTGTTAACGTTATTGTTAACGTTATTATTGCTAGCAACGGAGGGTGTATTGGCATTTCCTGTATTACCGGTAACACTATTTCCATTTGTAGAGTTAACCGGTGGGAAAGCTTTGAAAGATGCCGCCGTTGTCGTAGTCGTAGTTCGATGATGTACGAGCTGTTGTTGTCCCCCCGTCGACACATTAGACTGTCCCGAATTAGAAAAGCTCTGTCCCGGATTCGAGGCTGGCCCTTCGAGCAAGTGTAAAGTCGGCGGGGCTGGCAAAGGCTCTGTTTTTATTTCCACTGGTGAAAGAACCGGAGATGTCACGTCGTCGGATTCCATTTTAACATGAGATTGAGAACCCAACATGTCCGCGTTCTCCGGGTCGAGCTTTTGAATGCTCGACGTAATGTCTTCCCAAAGGGGAGGCCTGAGAAAGACGTCATCGTCGTTTCCACCCGGTTGATTCCTCGACGATATGTAACTAACTTGTGGTCTGCATACCGGACCACCGACTTCAAAAAAGTCCTCCATGTGTACCGAGGATTCTCTCGTATCCTTATCCCCGTCATCTTCGTCTAATTTTGGCAAACGATCGAGATCTTGTCTACAGAGAAACGTATCCAAGTCCGATGTCTGCTGAAATCATAATTGACAGATGTTAGATATGATTCATCGCTTGTTATATAAATAATTGTTACGATAACATTTATATAATCAAATTATACCCCATTGATTTCTCAAAAATACGAAAACTTTCTCTATTCATTCAAGTTAAAAAAAATCGTCGCTTCTTATGCGAGCATAGAGGTCTCCAAAAGTTGAGCGCGCGAGTATTGAGTGAGTTCAATGCTTGCATCAACGTATCGATCTTCGTAAGATCTTCAAACGAAACAGATAAATTTATTTTAATTATGCTCAGTTTAAAACGATCGGTCGCGTATAAAATCAAAACTGAAAGGGTGAAGAAGAAGAAGAAGAAGAGAGGGGTCGTTCGAGTCCAATGACTTGCATTATGCTGATGTACCGATGATGCACCGCAAGGCTGGTACACCGTCGTTCGTGGTCCGTTAATATGCAACGAGCACATCGGGGGCTGTGCAGCATGAGGTCTTTCCGACACCCCACGCCTCGTGTCCCAACGTTACTACGCACGAGAGACCCTTGAAGGAAGAGATAAGAGGAGGAGGAGGAGGAGGAAGAGGTGGAGATGGAGAGAGAAAGAGAAAATCGAAGAAGTAAAAGAAGAAGAGAAGGCAGGGTAGTAAGCGATGCTCCGTCATTCTTTGCATGATTTCTATTCGTTCAACGCCGCCCTCGCGTACCAGCTATCTTCTTCCTTTTCTATCGGGACGAGAACGTGCGAGCATAACATTTTAAATATTTTAATGCGCCACGCTGGTCGAGGTACACGCAACAAAACGCCCATCTCTTCTTTCTTTCTCTCTTTCTCTCCCTTTTGCATTCTTTTCTTCTTTTTTTATTTTATTTTTATTTTTTGATCATCGATGATCGATGGATTTCGTGCTTACGTTTGGTAAATGATATATCCTATCTATCCTGATATCATCAATATCAGGAAGCAATTTGATGACATTATACAAAAAGAAACAAAATGATGTCCGTTATAATTGAAGAACCTAATTCTATTATTAATCTTTTTGAATAATGATAAAAATATATTAGAGGAATTTATTAAATGATCAAGATATAGGAAGTTTGCGTCCGTTCTATGAAGAAGAAGAAGGTCGACGGTAGTCGCTTATAGGAGAGAAATTAACGACGTTATGGCTGACGTTGGAAAAGGCAGGGGCAACGCGTTACACGATCGCAACGCTGCTTACTTACTTGCTTGCTTACTTGCTACTTGGCAGTGTGTGGTGCTATCTCGTGTTATAGCACGAATCTCGTGTGTGTCCTGTTGTAATTTTCCGAGCGGCACACGGTTATTAATCACACGGTTATATACGGTAATGACGAGAGCCCGTCTCCTAATGGATCGGAAGCATGATGTTTTAATGGAATAAAAAGAAATCGTCGTGGTGGCTACTTGTATAAGTAGATAGATGGAATCAGAAAAGAAAAAATATGTGTTTCTTGGTGTGTGTGTGTGTGTGTCAGATATATTTCATGTAATTACATCGTTACGGTTATGTTATTTGCTTTATGTATGTGTGTATCTCTCTAATGTAGGTCGAAAATCGTGCCAACTTAAATAACTGCATAGTCGAGTAATAAAGAGTTCGAAGAATTAAGCTAAAGTATACAGGTAATACGTGTAATATCATTTTGATTCAAATAAAAACGTGATAGGGATGTATTTACTTATAGTCAAAATGATATAAGTTTGTATTTGTAACAGATAATCACGTTGTTTAAAAATTACAAAAAATAAAAATATAGAGATAAGCAATTTTCTTAATTGACGTTATTCAAAGAAAGTTTCGTTATCAATTGACTTGGACGTATTTTCCTTTTACAATTTTTTCTGACAAACGAAATCTTCAGTGGCGTGCTAGTTCAACCCTTGAACTTTCGAAATATATTATGAACAACGACGATGACGCCGATGACAAAGGGAGAACAGTAAATTGGTTAAAACTTTTCGTAAGGAATTCCAAAGCGAGAGAACAAGAAAGAGAAAGAGACGAAGAAAGAAAGAAAGAGAGAGAGAGAGAGAGAGAGAGAGCTCATCGTTCGTCCGGCGAACGCGCGCGAGGTGATTTATGAATTATTTACACAATGAATTATTCATCGTCGGAAGATTGGTATACTCGCAACACTCGATCCTACCTGATATGCAATTTGAAAAGGAGTTTGTAGCGCGCTACGACATGCGCTTGCGTGCGAAACATTATATTTAAATCCCGTACGTGGTTGGTACGACGCGAGGGTACCTATCCAGTTGAAGAGACAAAACTCGAATCGGTCGAACGACGCAATGACGATGGTTAAGTTCCAACATTGACGATGAAATCAAAGGGAACCAAATGAAATGTTTCAGAGTCTAGCGGAAAGGGAAATCTTACGGGAGGTCTACGAATCTCTCTTTCTCTTCTATCTCTCTCATTTTGATTTATCATTCTTTCCTCTCACTATGCTAGGAACATACCAAACTCAAATGTCAAAGTGAAATATTTAATGATAAGATAATAGAAAATTGTTTGAGTACATATTATGAGAATAATATATGAAAATGTAAGGTGCGATAAATATATTGGTTTATTTTTTTATCTTGTGTTAGTTGGTTTTTATTTGTCTTGGTCTTCTCCTTCATATATCTCTTATTCTTTCTATCCGACACCTCGCCAAGTTTCCCCCCTCCCTACCCTTCATTCCGTCCCTTTCTCACGTTGCAATAATGATAGTGCGGAACCACGAGCAAAGTTCGTCCATCCGGCTATTAATGCGCGTAATCATAGAGCCAGGGTCATCGGTGTTAATAATGCGTTTTCGAATCTGTCAGAGCAAGAACGAACACCCACGCAGTCGATAGAGCGTCGTTATTACTATCGCCGTATAAACTCGAATATCTATACGAGTGTGTATGTGTGTGTTTGTATGTGTTTATAGGATACGAGTGCAATACAAGTGGCTGCATTGTGAGTTGAATTTTGTATGTTAGTGATCGTATCTGTATCGTTGAATCCGACAAAGAAAATCTTTTTGCACGATTCGCAATGTTACAAAAATGTTGAACGTTCTCGACGTTCCGATCAAATTCTGATACGTTGGTTAATAATATTACTTATTTATTTTGGGAATAAAGGGATGAAATATTTTAATAAAGAAAGATCGAGTAGGTAATTGAATTTGACGAGTTCGATTCTTATTTTTACTTTTCAATATAACAAGGAAAGAATCAAGTGTTATCAGAGAGAGAGAGAGAGATAGAGAGAGAGAGAGAAGAGGACACTGATTTAAAAAAAATTCTATACAGTTGTAGGGTTCTATTATGTCAGTAGTAAGACCTAACATTTTATTTTTCTATCTAATATTTATTGGAAATAATACCGAATCGTAAATCACATATTATGCATTTTTAAATTTGCATGCAAGAAAGAAAGAAAGAAACGTATAGATACGTAACACTATATCCATAATTGCATGTAAGTCTATAAAATAGAAAGATAGGGAAATAATATTAGCGAATAAGGTTAAAAGAAAAAAAAATCGATTGAAAGAAGGCAAGCAAAGTTGGTAGTCTAGAAAAGGTAAAAAGTTTGTAAAGTGTTACGGTAACGTTCCGCCATATCTCATCCCTCGCCATAATGCAAACGTATAAACGGAGGAGGGAGTTTGGCGGTAAAAAAAAAAAAATGGTTATAGAGAATTGCTCTCTTTGCGTGGCACGCCATATATCATAATTATCGAAAGCGAATCGTCTATCGTATTTATGATGGCCAATAGGGTATATAGAACGACAGGTTTATCGTTTGGTTCGTACGTTTGGTTCGTTCGTTCTATTTATCGATTTCGACGAGCGAAATGGGACGTAGGAAGATGGATGAAAATGTGCTTGTTGTTGGTAGAAGGAAAGCGGCCATTTTGTCTGTGTATTCGTGTTCATCGTGCGCGTGTGTATTATTCGTCATGGTAACGAAGCGTAGCGCGCAGAAGCGAGCCTCGCCGAATCAATCTGGCGAAGCCACACCCTCTGACCTAAAGCCGTATTATCTCGATAAAACGCTAAGGGAAATGTCAGGCTGTAGTAAGAGAGAGAGAAAGACAACGATGTCAGCCATTATTACAAAGCCAAGAGTAAAATAGGAAGGACTTCGATCGTGTTGGAAAGACTCTAAGGTTGGCCCGAATTCGAGATTCTCATTGCCATCGGAAAGACGATAGGATAGTCTTCCTTAGATTTATTAGACTTTTTGCTTCTATATTTGGAATATCCTTGTCTTGCAATTAGTTGAAAAGTCAGGTTAAAAAAATGGCGAGTCGTATAGTTACTACAATAGTTTTCATTTCATTTTATTCTCATTAACTTGTAAGCTTATTTATTAATCAATCAATTCGAATTAGGTTCACATTATAGATAAAGTGTTCACGTTATTAATATGTAATAAAAATATTATTATCTAAAATTAAAAAGATCGAATAGTTGTTACCTGACCGTTGTCATTTTATCTTATATTTGTTCCTTCTTTTTTTTTTTTTATTTAATGTTGTTTATTCTTTGAACCCTTAACTCCTTTCATTAGTCGTGTCGAAGGAATCTTGTCGGTGTTATCTTAAATGCGATCTGTCATGAGAGTATTCAAGGATTGTCATGGAAATTATTTCTTTATCGTCATTTCAATTTCGGTACGACGTTGTTCCACGTTTTTTTTTTATCTGAGTCTTCCCGTTCATCGTTCAAATAAACTACCGTCCGAGAGTTTCATGGGGTTGCCTCACATGATTCTATGGGTTTCTCTTACGTTATGTCTTTATAGACCTTTTCTTTTTTCTTATTTCTTCTTCTTCTTCTTCTTCTCTGGTGATTCGACTTTCGACCAACACAACCAACCAACCATCGTTTGCCGTGCGTCATTTCTGCGCGTGGAAATCATAATTTCGATCCATCATATTCGTGTCTCGCGATATCCCTTTGTTCTGTCATTTTTTCTCTTCACGTGAAATAAATCGTAATT